GGGGCCGGTAGAGGATTTTCGTGAAAGAGACGATGGTCTCTTGTTATTCTGTGATCGAGTGTGCGTACCGTCGAATGATGAGCTCCGAAAGTCCATTCTAGAGGAGGCTCATTCCTCGGCGTATGCTATGCACCCGGGAGGCACGAAGATGTACAGGGATTTGAAAGAAAGCTACTGGTGGTCTGGTATGAAGAGGGATATAGCAGAATACATCAGTCGATGCCTTACCTGTCAGCAAGTTAAGGCAGAACATCAGCATCCAGCGAGCTTATTGCAGCCACTTTCCATCCCTGAATGGAAGTGGGAACATGTGACTATGGATTTCGTGGTAGGCTTACCACGGACGATCAGGAACTATGATGCAGTTTGGGTTATTGTTGATAGGCTCACGAAGAGTGCACACTTTTTACCTACCAACACCACTTACCCACTCGAGAGGTTAGCCAAATTGTATACGGACGAGATCGTGAGGTTACATGGTGTTCCGGTGACCATCGTATCCGATAGAGACCCACGATTCACGTCACGTTTTTGGCCAAAATTTCAAGAGTCTATGGGAACGAGGTTGAATTTCAGTACTGTGTTCCATCCATAGACGGATGGGCAGTCTGAAAGGGTTATTCAGATCTTAGAAGATATGTTGAGGGCTTGTGCATTGGAGTTCCAAGGGAGTTGGGACAATCACTTAGCACTTTTGGAGTTTGCCTATAAAAACAGTTATCAGGCAAGTATCGGCATGCATCCATACGAAGCATTGTATGGGAGGAGGTGTCGTACACCGTTGTGCTGGGACGAGGTTGGCACGGCCAAACTTGAGAGTACTGAGTTGGTTGAGATCACCAAGTCAAAGGTGAAGCTGATTCGAGAGAGAGTCAAAGCAGCTCAGGATAGACAGAAGAGTTATGCAGATAAGCGACAGAGAACCTTAGAGTTTAAGGTTAATGATGAGGTATTCCTGAAAGTTTCTCCTTGGAAAGGAATCATTCGATTCCAAAGCCGAGGGAAGCTTAATCCACGCTACATCGGGCCATTCAGAATTCTAGAGAGAATTGGGGCCGTAGCTCATCGTCTACAGTTGACTCCAGAGTTAGAGAAGATACACAATATGTTCCATGTATCTATGTTGAAGAAGTATGTACATGATCCTTCTCATGTATTGGAAAAGCCGCCGGTGGAAATACGGGAGGATTTGAACTACGTCGTACAACCAGTCAAGATCACCGATAGAAGGGTAAAGAAATAGAGGAGTAAAGAAGTTCCAATGGTTAAAGTCGTTTGGAAGAGTGACCGTGTTTGAAGAGGAGACTTGGGAAACGGAAGCTTTGATAAGAAAGCAATACGCCTTCCTATTTGAGTAGCACCGTGAATTTCGGGGACGAAATTCCTGTTAAGGGGGGTGAACTTGTGACACCGCACCCGAACGTCCTGGAAATTCAAATTTAATTTCAAAGCATATGTACTGAATTTCCCTATTTTCGAACAATTGTAAAACGTTTAAAGTTTTACGGTAAGTATGATTAATCATATTACTATTTGGGCTCATATAATGGTAATGGACTTTTAAATAATTGATTGGGCCATATTATTGATATTGGGGCCCAACATCCTTAAATAAAGATATACAACCCCTCGGTACGATGTAAGAGCGGTCGGGCAGCCCAAATGTTATTTTGGGCCTAACCTGCTAAAAATAGTAATTATTCAAGAATGGCATCCTAGACCCATTGGAGGGTGAGCCACACGGTTAGTATCCCAGCTACATGAATATTAATGTCATAAATAAGTGATAGAATGATTGGAGAAGAATACAAATGCCTATGGTCCCATCTTTGGCATTATTAGGCTAAATAATGGGAGTATGGTTTTCTTTTATTATTATTCATCATATAACTTATTGGGACCATCCTACACATATTAGATATAAATAATATGATGTAGAAGGTTTACTTGATCTAAATAAATGAGGATAAGTACAAAAAGTACATCTTATGACAAAGGACAAAAACAATAGGATCCATCTTTCCACTTTTGGATGTATTGGTAGATATTTTGCTCCCAAATTAATTTGGGGACATGAGAGTACGCCCCACACCTTCCTAGAACCTTCAAAACAGGTAGAATAAGTTAGATCACAAAAATGGGGCGGACCTATGGAGTGGAGAGCTCAAACAATACAAAAAAAGAAATAAAAGAGGAGGACCATCCCATGTTTGATTGGAATCAAACACCCTACCTATTATTTTTGTGAACCACATGTTAGGATAACCTTTTGAGAGCTTCCAAATACCTCTCCCTCACCCCTCATTCGAACTAAAAAGATAAGGAAGAGAGAGGAGCCGCACAACCCAAGAAAAAGAAGAAGAAGGAGAGCTGGCCGCAGGAATTCATTCCAGTTCGTGGAGCTCACAGTTTGCTTCGTATCTTGATAAATACACATCCAATTTAGGCGTGTGAGGTGTCAAAAGAAACCTATCAAGATAAGTAATCTATAGAGGTGCGGTTTACGTCAATTGGAGAAGTTTAAGGCCTCCAAATTGTTCGAACAAAACACAAATTCGCAGAATACGATTTTGTATTCAAAGTAAGTTTGAATCCAAAACCTTCCTTTCTATTGTCTAAATCATATAAATGATTGAGGAACTATTGTACATTGGTTGAGGTGTATATAATTTTGTTATGAAGTGATTTTATTCGTTGGAAAGGTTAGATACTAACCTAGATAAAACCTTGAAAGGTTAGGGAACGAATTCGCCGGAAAACACCCGTTCTAGGGGCTGTTTTTGTGTCTTCGGCTAGGAGTGGAGATAGCACCTTGAAGAGGATGTTTAAAACTCATTTATAGGCAAGGAATCAATTCTCAAACCCCCTTGGTCGAAGCTTGAGCATTGGGTTAAGAAGGAAAGGTTTAAAAAACTCATTTAAGGTGAGGATCGACATCTAGTTGCTTACAAATTGTAGGTTAAGCATGAGATTACCTAAATGCCTAAATCATGTTTTTCATGGATTATAATGACTTATTATTGATGAAACATTGATATACTAGATAAGGAATGAAATTGCAAATGATTTGAAATCATATTGATAAAGATGGAGTTAAATGAACTATTGTGTGAAATAGGCATTTTTACTCATGTGTGAATTGTGTAGATACATAAATGATTATTTATGTACTACATTGAATGATTAAGTTGCTGCTACATATCTCTAAATGTGTAGGGATTTACAAATGGAATATATGATGGATAAGAATAATCTTAATAGTATTGAAATACTAGTTGATGATTGTTGTAATTGTTAAGGAATTGAATCTAAGGATTTGATTGTAATTGATGCACTTGATTGTGATGCAAGTGACTAAATTGATGTGATATGATGTAAGATCATGATGAGGCAGTCCGTAAGGATGTCCCGAAATAGATTATTGATATTACAATTCTAGGCATAGCGAGTGCTTAGGAATTGGGGTCTATGCCAATGTAAGGAGATGTACTTTAGCCCGATGCTCTAGAATTGCATTGGGTAGACATAAGGAGTTGGTTCAGCCCATGTAAGGAGATGTACTTGAGCCCGAAGCTCTAGAATTGCATGGGTGAACATGACGTCGGAGATTGGTGGAGTAATTGACTTGTGATTGATGTGCATGGTGATGTAGTCGAGTTGGATTCAAGAAATGAAAACATGTGTGTTAGGGTTGAACCCTTTGTATTGTCGTGACTAAGGGTCACGGGGTTTGGGTTATGTTTTGTAAACGAACTTTGGGCCACAGGCCGACTACTTGACTTTATATATAAAGTAAGTATATTTTGAAAAGGGGTAGCTTGGGGTTACGGCCTAAATTATATTATCACCCTATTTGAGGGTCTTGTGTTTGAAATACTTGTTGTATATCTATTAGATGCCATCCACACCAGTACTTTATAGCCGTATAGAGTACTGACCCCCTTTCGGGGGGCGTCCCACCACCATTTCAGGTTGAGGCTAGAGCTTGCTACCTGTGCTTGTTGATCGGGCGATCATCTCGGAGAGAAGACTTGATTCGTGCTTCCTCCATTCTGTTTTTAAACAATTTTAACATGCTCATGGATATTGTTTTCATTATGGAGCCTGTGTGCTCGTGTTTGCCCCGTGTGGCATTTGTTTTCAAAACTATGATTTCCGCTGCGTATTCAATTACTTATTATGTATGTTTATGGATGACTTATGTGTGAATGATATTCGAGGCGCCTTGTATAATATGGATGAGTTAGACTGCGGTTGACTATTCATATTGTACGGCAGATTGTTGATGTGTCCGGATAGGTCCGGGGCATGACACGTTTGGCCACGAACGTCTCTGCGCTTCATGTCGAATGTCATGAATGTCTCGGAATGGTTGTGATTCCTTTTTTTTCATCGCCAGTCATGACGTCTTTGCGCTTCATGCCGAACATCATAAACATCTCTGCGCTTTATGATCTTCCCGTTTGAGCTCATCGAACGGCTTTGCATGCTTGTAATTTCTTCATCTCTTTGTCGGTCATGAACGTCTCCGCGCTTCATGCCAACATCATGGATCTCCTAGCTTGAGCACATCGAACGGATTCCACTGCACAATAAGCATAGTAATATGACCGTACGGCCGAACAACATATACAAGCATATACATACATACATGTGTAATATTCATGACTATCGGCCGAAGTGGTATAATAATCCTTGGCCTAGATTCATTTTTCGCACTGGCCAGGTGCTATCAAAACCACTTAGTGGTTTGCCGGGCGCTCTCAGAAAAATTTTGGAGGATCAAAGTACGTACTTTGCCCCGTATTGGGCATGGTTGCCATTCGGTCACTTGGTGTCGTGCAGGACCATGAATGATTTCTAAATTAAAATGCATCATCCGGCAAGGCCCTTTGGGGATGCCTCAGTCAATGAATTTGGCCCGATCAGGGGCGGATCCATACGCCCACTAAAACCAATCATTTAATTAAAATGAAGGTGAGCTTATTATTAAAGCTCCACTAAAACCACACTCATCTACTTCAGAAGGGATTGCCGTTCGGGAGATAATCAATGGTGTAAACGCTGCACTCTAAGGTGTCGTTGACGTGCGGCCTGATCAAGCCCCTTTGGGGGACGCCCGGGGAACCTCTGTTTCTGTTATCCTGCTGATGTGAGTTGGTAGCCTCTTGGCTCAGCATCCTCCAATGGTGAACTGGTGGTCCCTTGGGACTCCCTTCGGGTGTCATCTTTAGCTTGGGCGTTCAAGGAGTTCCCGTTCGGGATGCGGCAGTCAGCTTCCCAGTTGGGCGGTGCAGCGAGTAAACCGGGCGGGAGCCCGGGTTGGTGAGATCATCGGAGGTGGGCCCTCCGCAATCCCAGGTCAGCAGCCATCACGGTCTCGTTCGTTCCCTAATCCTGGAAATGGGATTCTTCTATTGGAGCGTGGGTCCCTTAGTTGAATCGCCCGGTATGTAGCCCCCATCATGAAGTTCCCGTTCGGCAGGTTGACTCAGAGGTACGCGGGTTAGTGTAACAGGATCCCACTTGCTTATCTTTTTTTCTAACTACTGGGAGAACTTCCCGTTCGGTAAACAAAGTTGTTGTCTTATTCTTGGATCAAGGGTCCGGATGATGGCTCGCTAGCCCTGGATCGAGTTGCCCGGATGTCAAGGATGAATAGCTATAGACCGCTCGGGAATTTCTTTGGTCTTGTAAATCCTTTGGTGAGTTCAGCAGGATGTGGTTGTCATGATCATGCCCCTAAAAAGTCTTCGTGTTGTATAGCTTCCCACTGAGCGCTCTATTCTACCGTTCCGATTATTTTGATCCGCCACCACTGAGATACGTCCAGCCCTCTGTGTTGGCCCTAACGTCGGTTCGGGCTATATCTGAATATGGCCCCACTCGGGAGATACCGCCGTTCGACCCCTGGCTATCTTCCGTCTTATTTTCCGGTCCAAGTTTTACCTCATTTTGCGTGTCTTGTCAGGACACATCACATCCCACAGCTGCTACTTCCCACATGATGTGTGAATAGAGGTCATTCTCCAAGTTGCTAGTTGTGCGGGTCCCATCCCAACATGGCTCTCCTGCTGCTGTCCCCTGTACTAAATTCTACGGCGGTCCATCCACAGCTGCTATCTTTTGGAGAGGGTGAAGCTACCTCACATGGTAGGTTTTTTATACTCAACAGAATAAGTATGATTCTCACTAAAAGTGCACCTATGCTCATTTAGCGGAAGCCTAAATGACCAAAATGACACTGACTGTGCAGTACTCACCGTACGGTGCTCACTGTACACTCGGCAGAATAAGTATAGGTGATTGTGTTATCTCTATTCAAATAAAATATTAAAATCTTGATGCGATATGGAAATTTGTTGCTCTTTTGATAATTTACGTTGGGCTTTTTAGAGAACACAATACAAATAGCAGTGTATTGCAGGTAAAATATACGATTATACGGGCATACGGCCCAAAATTGGATCCAGGATTTCTCAAGTGGTGCCCGGTGGTCTTCCATTCATTAACAATACGGATCTTCCCATTTTCTTCTCAACCCTGCGCAATTCAGGAAGAAGAAGACATCGCACTTTGGAAAATGGGGAAGCAGCCAGTTAAATTGAAGGCCGTCGTTTACGCTCTATCTCCGTTCCAGCAGAAGGTGATGCCTGGCCTATGGAAGGACCTTCCCGGCAAGATCCACCACAAAGTTTCCGAGAACTGGATCAGCGCTTCCCTCTTACTTGGACCTCTCATCGGCGTCCATTTGTACGTACTACCATACTCCATTCTCTTATGCAAATCGATTCCCATGCTGAAAAGATAGTTTTTTTATTTTTTCAGCTCCGGCTGTATCTGTTTATTTATAATCCTGTAGTCAGTGAATGTTTGAAAACTATTAGTATTCAATACAAATTTAACATAACATATGGGATGGCAATTTATTATAGGTAGGATGTACTGCACTTTGAGATGATTCGTGAATGTACAAGTTGGTTTGATAAACTATGGGGCCTGGATGAGTAATTGCAGTTAATTAGGATTTAGGATCATGAAATACTCCGTATTGATAACTTCAGTTTTGGCATAGAAGAGCAGGAAGAGTTACATGGTTGTTTTAATATGTGATCTGAGTTTGAATTGAGTGAGATTTGTGCTGATTGCACTAGGCTTCAATCTTATACGGAGTAGTATATATGAATAATGAAAGGTCCCCTGAACCTTAGGTTATTACATTGTACTCCCTATTTCGACAAAATAATGAAAGAATAAGTTTTTATCCTTCTATTTCAACTTTACTCATAGATCACTACTCTCCCGTTTGTCAAGTACTATTGATTTCAATTTTCATCATAACTAAATATGTACTCTTTTTTTTTAATATGAAAACCATAAGTGTAGCTTGAGCGAAAAGGTAAATTTTAATCTTTGCTTATATAATAAAAGCCAACATACGTTAGCATGATCCTTTTTCCATCCAATTTCGACATGTTTCGTCAACATAAACGTCTAAAATTAACGTCTTAAAATGTATCCCTAAGTTACAATCGCCTATTCAACCTTCCCTCTACCGTTATGAAACTGTCATAGACATCTGTAGCAACCGCCATGAACACATATACTTCCGAAGGCAGAAGGTCTAACATCTCCATTTTCATTTTCATCTTTCTCTCCGCCAACAACAAGGTATTTTTTATCACCTCTACTTTTTAACTCATCCTTTTCTTCTAATGCATAATTCTCATAGTATGAACTTACTAAATACTAAATAACTTGATTATCGTTACAACACATCTGCAAGTTAGGCATCTCCAAACATGATTGCATGTTTTCCAACTTCGGTGCACTCAATTATACTTCAATTTATTATTCTAAAAAAAATCCTAAACATTTCAAAACAACATTATAGTACACTCTAGGGAACGAGATGCACTATTTCTTCTATTTCAAAACTGTTGTTTACAACCAACGAACCCAATTTACCTTAGTTGCTCTGTACTCGTATAGTTTAACCATAATAGCTGTACTAAGCAGATATATTTAGACAAGCATATACTCCGTATAATCTTTTATTCCGCTTCAATTTTGAATAAAAATATACAAAGTTAGAAGTTTTGCCTTTTCCCCTTTTTTGGTAGTTGCGATTGAAACTTGTGAGAATGCTCCTTGCTGACTGAAGTTATCATTACATTCATTGCCTTCTTTCAATATGAGTTTCCATTTTGTTTTGGGGCTTCAACACATCAAGTCACTCTTAAGGACTTGATTAGTAGATTGCCCAGTAGTTGGTAAAGAGAGACACAACAAAGCCATATTTTTCTTCATGTTTGCTTGTGTAAGAGTGATTATGGTTTTCACTGCAACGACAAAAGTGAAGTCTCTGATTTCATCATTAAGAGATTTGCATTCAATAGTATTGGGAGCAAAGTTAATTATGAACTTCCGTTAGATAATTATAAATAATCATTTCTTAGTATATGATGAATGTCTGACAGACTCTTATTTCTTGCTAATGAGAAAGATGAGTTATCACAAATGGTACATATTTCAGATATCCATGGCATTGGGTAGCAGATTATTTGAAAATAACATTTCCTAAACCGACGATATAAATTGATTCCTAAATATCAGATGTTGGTATAGCCAAAACTAAAAAGTTCTCATTTAAATATTCATTAAGATGAGATAGCTATACGGGTTAGTTAAAAAAATGATATAAGTAGTTGCAATAGTTTCTATCTGCAACTCAATTATTTACGAAACTACAGTAGCATTTTAAAATATACATTCCTCGATTTTGAGCTGCAATTATTCCAGCTAACCCTAAAAATTTATGTCCTCTTGGAAAGGACTACTATTTTATGTCCTTCATCTCTTGGAAAGCACTACTATAGGTGTAAATTTTAATTTTGTCCTTCCTATAAGAAGTCCCACATTATTATTTACACAATACGTTTAGCATATTCTAACATAAAAAAAAAAGAGTTTTTGGCCATATTATTTGAATTCCTCCCTTTTAAAAAATGTCTTGTCTTTATATTAACACATTTTGTCTAGCTGCATTGGGCACCCGTCGCACATAGTGCATATACCGCTAGTATTATAATATACTCGAGTGACACACATAATCAATGTTACACCTAAAAAACACACTTTGCATGTCTCAGAGACATTCCTGCCATAATGGTTTATCTGTTTGTAAATGCAGGTATGTTAAGCATTACCAGGAAACTGAGAAGTTATCTCACAGATATTGAATGGTTGAAGATGGGAAACTAGCAGCTAAATCCCCCTTTTTGTTTTTTGGATTTTTACCTGAAAATAAGGTGTTGGTACGATGGTTTCAATTGTGTTTCCCTGCTACATGTGGGCATAATGTGCTAGTTGATTTCTCCCTATCTGAAAATAAACTGAATACATTTCTTGTTTGTTCCAGATATGTTAGTTACCTGTGAATTAGTTTGAATCCGTAATGTGGTAGAAATACATAGTTGTTGGGATATTGGACCGACCGAATAGTTGGGCTGGCCCATTACCACAAACCAAATCGTTGGGCCGGCCCAATACCATAGGAAGCCACCCCAGTGCAATTCCTAGCCACAATGAGATACTTTCTGCTGCTGGTAGCTGCTCGTCAGATGTGGTGATCGACGTCAAAAAGTATGTCATTGTGGTGATCGATAATTTTACGATTGGGGCTGAGTCACTTGCCAGCATCACTGAATTCTTAATGCTAGCTAATGTTTCGTTTGGAAGGATATCATCTGTAATTTTTTGCCTCCCTGATTAGATCAAAAAATGGCAGGCAGTTCATTGGTTAGGCTTCGAGGAATTACTAAGCAAGTGACACTCACTCAAAAGTCTTTTAGCCTACCCATAGGCCATAGGCCAACGAATGGGTGGAGAATATGAACTGGATGATCATGGATAGGGGTGGACTGGGACCGGGTTGCGCCAGGCTCTAGGTTGGAACTGGGCGGGCTCGGGCTTAAGAATTTCAGGCCCAGTACCGGCCCGGGTTTGTACCAAAACCGGGTTGGGCTAGGCTTAAATAGTACTAGGTCAGGCTCCGGGCGCTTCGGGATGAGACTAGGCAATAAAATAAAAAAATAGTGCAATCGGGTTCGGGCCCGACCGGATCTGGCCCAAAAATTGAGCTTGAAGCCCGCCCTTATAGCCACCGGGCTGGGCTTTGGGATGGGGCTGGGACCGGGCCCTAACAGTAGCGGACTGGGCCTAAATAGTACTGGGTCGGGCCCGGGTCGGGCTGACCCGTTCAGTCCATCCGTAATCATGAATGATTAATTCCTATTATGGAATTTTATCAATTAAAGACCTGAAAGATAGATGAATTATCAATCTGGGACTTTAAAGATGATATATATGGGGCACCAAAATAATGTGGGGCATCAATTTTTTAAAATAAAACTACTGTATTTACATGATGAGTATTTGCTACTCCGTTTTGGGAACTGAAAGAAATACTCCACTACGTAGAAGATGAAAAGCAAAACTAGTAAAAGGTATATCTGTGTCACGTTGCCATTATGAATAATAAGTAATTTAATATTCCAGAAATTACAAAACTTCTAACTACTTAAGACACTAAGGAGTATGAAACTCAATGAATTGAGTTTCAACCTAGATTACTCTGGGCTCCACCAGCCTCTTTTCTCCAGACGCCTTTGGAGTATCTTGTTTTTGGACAAATTCGGCCATTTTAATAGAAGTAATGTCCAAAAATAATAAATTCTACAAAACTGCCACCGTCATTTCAAACCATCATTTCAAAAACTGTCACCGTAATGTCAAACTTGGCACTTTTTGGCCATTTTAATTTTGGACAAATTCGGCCAAAATGACGGTGGCAGTTTTGTAAATAAACCAATTTTTTGAGCTACCGCGAAAAAGTGAAATGAAAACAAGAAAAAGTGCTAGCGAAACATGAAAAAGTGCAAACTTTGCACTTTGCACGTTAAGACCACTTTATTTGAACCATCTCATATATATATATATATATATATATATATATATATATATATATATATATATATATATATATAGGGGGAAGATCCCATGGAAACCATGCTTCCGGTGCAAACTACAAACCAACTACATCCGTTGGATTGATCAATACGGATGATCATGCGTAAGACATCCATGGTAGTAGTTATGGATTGAGATGTAGCCAATCAAAATCGTAAGACCCACTTCCGTATAATAATTAGTTGCAAGGCTATTACGGTCATCTTAAAACATATTTCCCTTGATTTGTCGTTGTCTACTTTCCATTAATCAAATAATCATCTAAATATAAGCAATCCATAGAAGGTAAGTGGCAGACAAGATAAATCCCTGAATTGATCCTAGCCATAAATTACAAAATAACTTACCTATTGCAATTAATAATTAATGGTAGCTGATGGATTGTAGGTATTCAAGTATATTAAAATGGAGAGATTGAGCTAGATAATTGGAGGAAGAAGATAATGAATAGTGAATTGTGAATGAGTAATTATGAGTTACGGTTACAAATGGCTCCAAAAGGAGTATAAATAGGGAAATAATGGACCGGGCCGCTAATATGAGCCCGGTAGCCCAACTACATAAAAGACTAATCTAGTACATAGTTACATACAAATGACGTATAAGCAGTACAATAATACAAATGATATCCGTAAGATGTGTGTGGGCCGCTGTCCGGGCCCAATAGTCGTGAGACCCGGGGGTCCGAGTCTATATACTCTATCAGGAGTCCCCCACTCTCTGAGTCGAGAGTATTCGAGGCGAAAGAGAGTAGAACTGTGTGCTGATCTGTCGCCGTCTGGTGAGTAAACTTCATGAACAAAAATTTGAAATTCTGCTTCTTTGGTTAACGGAGGCGCTAAGTCCCCCGCTCTCCCAGTCCCCCACTCCTTGAGGCGAGTGTAATGAGGTGAAGAGGAGTAGAGTAATGCGTGTCGGATGATGTCTTCAACAGGGGGCCGAGGGTTGACACCTTTTGATCCACGATGGGGAGATGCCTCGTTAAAAACCTCATTAGGAAAAACCATGTGGGAAAAAATCCTAATGAGGGAAAAAGAGTACACCGGATGCCCCCAAAATGAAACAAAAAGTGCGAGCCCTTCGGCCTGGAGATGGAGCTGCAGTGGTGCCCGCCTGCTGGATGGTCGAGGTCGATCTCTAGATGTGGGTAGCTCATCATGATCAGTAGTCCTAGTCATCAAATAAAGATGACTAAGGGATGGGTCGAGCGACCGTCCACAATATGATGTATGGTTCATCAAATAAAGATGACCAGAACGTAAGGCCGATGGGCCGAGAGGCCTGTACGAGAGCTCCACGTTGTCGCATAAGGACGACAAGGCGATGTATGGCCGAGGGACCTGCATAGAGCTCCACGTCGTCAAATAAAGACGATTGGGCGATGTGTGCGGCCGAGGGGCCTGTATAAGAGCTCCACGTCATCAAATAAAGACGACGAGGCGATGGTGTGGCCGAGGGGCCTGCATAAGAGCTCCACGTCGTCAAATAAAGACGACGGGGTGATGGTGCGGCCGAGGGGCCTGCATAAGAGCTCCACGTCGTCAAATAAAGACGATGGGGCGATGGTGCGGCCGAGGGGCCTGCATAAGAGCTCCACGTCGTCAAATAAAGACGACGGGGTGATGTATGGCAGAGAGGCCTACATGAGAGCCCCACATCATCAAATAAAGATGACTATGAGAGACGACTAAGTGGCCGATATGATGTCATCATATAGTTGCACCTATGCATTCAAATAAAATTGTTATAATTTCTTGAGCTTATAATTTGCTATTGGATTGGGGCCTAAATCAAGTTGCCTCAAATTTCCAAGTTGCAGCTCAAGCTAGGTTTCCATGCTTAGTTGGAGCGTGGCACACATAAAGGATTGAACCTACCGCTGGGGATTGCAGTTCATTTCCGATAGTTAGAGGGCACACATAACTCATACATAACATAGAAACTACCGTGTGTATTAGATAACATTTGGATTGGGAGCTTACCATTCACACTCGTTTGACGTGACCCGGTGGCGCGAGTGTCTGTGCTCGCCCGGTGTACGCGAGTGCTCGGAATTTCATAAGTCCGTTTTTCAATGTCAAAAAAATACACACTATTTACAAAAAATAATGGTAATAAATTAATAATCTAGCTTAACTTGTCACTCAAGTTCGTTGCTGGGATCTGCTAGACGCTATTTACGGGTCTTTTCACGGATGACTTGCCCCTCGAGATTGAAGTTTGATGCTATATTATTAAAATATTTCATTTATGACCTTTTGGAAGTCTTCAAAAGTAATGATAGTAAATTAATAATCTAGCTCAACTCGTCACTCAAGTTCGTAGCTGGGATCCGCCAGACGTGCGCATTTAAGGGTCTTTTAACGGATGACTCGCCCCTCGAGATTGAAGTTCGATGCTATATTATTAAAATATTTCATTTATTATTTTTTGTAATAATTTTTTATCAAATATGTTCACATATTGATTGTATGGAAGGAATTTAGGACTACTTAGCTTCAGAATTGGCCTTTTGTTGTGTATTGCTTAAATTGTAACACGAAGAAGCTTGTTTGGACTTTGGGCCCAAGGTATTCTGGCCCATCTCACTTGGTGCAAGCTTCCCTGGCCCGTTAGTAAATATTGACATGGATTAGGGCAGTTGACCTAGTCAAATGAAACCCTCTTTCTGCCAATGAGGCTGGTGAGACATCTTATGAATGGTGGAGGGGTTGTACCAGATTTCCATCAGCGTGGATGCAGATTTCAAATCCCGCTTCCACCCCGCTGCAGGCTATGGAGAGAAGACCCTAGATCAGTGAGGCTTGAGGAAAAGAAGAGATGCCCCTGGCCATGATGCTATCGGAGGAGTGGCCATTTCCGCTGTCAAGCCCTACTGTTCTTCACACACGGACGTTGCTGGCCAGGAAATATCATCGCTTTTCATCGCTAGCTGTCACCGGGGAGTGGAAGAGGGTTCGTCGGAACTCCGACTTTGTGCGACACTGTCCTGTCCCCGTCGAGATCTGGAGCGGCAGCTTCGATGTGGCCATTAATGGCGGAAACCGTGCACTAGCTCACCCGACTTGAGGTGGGATGCGACTGACAGCGTTGGGGCAAAGGTGGAGAACAAGCTTCGAGCGCCGATCGGTGACACTGTGACAAAGGCGGAACAACGGCCTGCGAGCGACGGCTCCGCGCCGGCGAGATCTGGAAATGGGTGGTGAGGCGGAAGAGCAGCAGCAGACCGGCTTCAACCGACGCAATGGCCTGGGTAACGGCAACCTGCGAAGAGATCTGGAAAATCCATGTTTTTTGCTTTTTTCCAGATTGTTATTGCTGTTGTTGTCATTTTCAGATCTGTTTTTGACTGATTTTGGTATTTTGGACGAAATTTTTGGTTTTTTTTGGGAGGATTTCTCACTTGATTATGCTCAAACTCTCAATGAAAGCACCATTGATGGATTGTAGGTATTCAAGTATATTAAAATGGAGAGATTGAGCTAGATAATTGGAGGAAGAAGATAAAGAATAGTGAATTGTGAATGAGTAATTATGAGTTACGGTTACAAATGGCTCCAAGAGGAGTATAAATAGGGAAATAATGGGCCGGGCCGCTAATATGAGCCCGGTAGCCCAACTACATAAAAGACTAATCTAGTACATAGTTACATACAAATGACGTATAAGCAGTACAATAATACAAATGATATCCGTAAGATGTGTGTGGGCCGCTGTCCGGGCTCAATAGTCGTGAGACCCGGGGGTCCGAGTCTATATACTCTATCAGTAGCAATTACAAAATTTATCTCTTGATTCATAGAATCAATCAATCGCTCCTTAATAAACTTCAATATTTGAAACCCAACTCCTTACAAAATGAGAAGTGCATTTTAAGATTATGAGATGTGCATCGTATAATTATAATGTTGCATATGATAATATTTTTGAAATAAATTCCTTTATTTACGAAATTAATCACTTCATAATTATAAAGTATGCATATTAGTTGTGCATATGCTGCACTTTAAGTCACATGATATGATCATTATCTATATAATGGTTGTCATATTGAGCCCATTAATTTATCACGTTGCACTTTGGAAGTCCACGTGCTGCATTTTATTACTATGACAAGTGCATTCATTTTACCGTCATTAACAAAGTTCATATGTTGCATTGATCATCATCACATGTTCACTTTTAGAAGTTCATACGAAGTATACAGTATTTCAGTAAGATGACATGTGCATCTTAGTAGACCATATGCTGCATCTTACCGCTTTGGCATTTGCATCTTAGTAGTTCATATGTTGCATTTTATCATTGTGACATGTGCATTCATTTTACAGTGATTCTCACAGTTCGTATGTTGCATTGTATCATCACCACATGTATTTTCAGAAGTTCATACAGAGTATATTGTATTTCGGTAAGATGACCTGTGCATCTTAGGAGATCATATGCTGCATCTTATCACTACGACATCTTAGAAGTCCATATTGCATCTTACTGCTTTGGCATCTGCACCTTAGTAGTTCATGTGTTTCATTTTATCATTGTGACATGTGCATTTATAAGATCATATATTGCATTTTAGTTAGATTATATGTGCACTTTAGAAGTTCATACTGCATCTTATCTCTATGGCACCTGCATTATATACTAACAGACATGCATACTAAACTCATGAGGTCACAAAATACATAATATTTCGGGCACATTAATGTAGAAATATTTAAACATTTTTCTTCATAAATACGAAATTGATGAACTTCATGAAGACAAAAATCAAAACGTTAAATATGATAAATTTCATAGTGAAAAAAGATGTTTTCTTGGCTTGCACAATGGATTCAAATCCAAAATGTCAAAATCTGTTAAACCTCGTATAAAGAATTTAAAAAGTATCTGAAGTGCAGAATTTCATGGGGAAGAAAATGGGGATGAAATTATAACCAAAGCATAGAAAAATTACTTATGTTGCACAGAAGTTCCCTATTAATGGTCGCTAGGAACTGAATAATCAAAGAAAAGTTTGGAGATGGAGATGAATTATCAAAGAAAAGTTTGGAGATGGAATGACATAGGGATGAAGATGAAGATGGAAACACAGAAGGAGATGGAGACGACGTTCTTTTCTGGCGAATGATGTTGATAAATGAATGTGGATGGAAAGTAAATAACCACAAAAAATCAGTTAGCTAGGGATATTAGAGAGTACGTATGCTTTTTCCAAAAATAAAAACAAACTGAAAAGACCACTTAGCCCATCAATTAAAAGATCAACCGTGTGGTAATCTAATTAAGATGGATGGCTAGGATTAGGTTTGTAGGTTAGCATTTTAAGATGAGTTTGCATTTGATCTCTAATCTATATATATATATATATATATATATATATATATATATATATATATATATATATATATATATATATATATATATATATATATATATATATATATATATATATATATATATATATATATATATAGAGAGAGAGAGAGAGAGAGAGAGAGAGAGGTCTTCTCCTCCGAACCGGCCGGAGGAATGCCCTGTCCGGCCACCTCAATTTGAGGTGGTTCCGGGGGTATTTTTGGCTGAAATTTTTTGTGTATGCTCCTCATTAAGTCTAGTTCATCCATACCAAATTTGAGCAAAAAATTCAATCGGGGAGGTCGTCAAATGATTTTTGCATGAAAACTGGTCCGGAATATACATATAAAACGCAGTTTTCATGCAAAAATTATTTGACGACCTTCCCGGTTGAATTTTTTGCTCAAATTTGGTATGGATGAACTAGACTTGATGGGGAACATACACAAAAAAAATCAGTGAAAAATACCCCCCGGAACCACCTCAAATTGAGGTGACCGGAGGGGGGTTCCTCCGAACCTACCGGACAGGAACTTTAGTCTGTGTGTGTGTACTAATTACTAGTTGAAAAGGCTAATTACTAGAGCACAATTTAAGAGTTGCACGCAAGTTTGAAAAGGCTAAAAAATAATGCACATGTATTTAACTGGTCCAGGGTGTAGTATGGGTGAGAATTTGAGCAAATGTTGGAGGAGAAATTTGAATGGATACAGATGTTTGTAGTTTTTTTTTTTTTGAGTGGAGGTTTGGAGTTATTAATATACGTAATATATTTTTAAGATATAATTTGGTCATCACAAAATCTAGAAGCAATATCGTCTCATATTATGAGTATTAGTACAAACACACTTGGCCCAATCATCAGGGAAACTAACTACTATAGTTTTTATATATACGCTTTCCCATGTTTTTATGGCTAACAATTACGCGCTCGCAGCAATATTCAAAGCTGACTATAACAACGTGAGGTCCAAACCGCTATGCTTATTTTTAATACCCAAAAACTATACATACGGAGTATTTTATATGTATATATACACACCCAGGAACGAAATTTGACGTTTCAGCTTGGACCAAATTAGCACTTGCCAAAACTTGGTGATGTACAGTTTCTTTTTTTCTTTTCTTTTTGCTACCTAACTGAAGCTTCTGTTACTACAGTGTGGATGGCAGGTAATCTCAATCGTGTATACGCTATAATAGCCTGTTATGTATCTCAATCAGGGAAACTTTCTCCTGCAATCAATACATGCATAAACAAATTTATATTTTTTGTTGCAATAAGAGTGTCCCATCTCAAAATGCAATCAATATATCCAAAAATTTATAATTTTTTGATGGGAAGGCTTTGAATGCCTTACTCTATATCTTCATAAATACAATGCCTCTAAAAAGGAATATAAAGTACTTTAAATGCTAAATGATCACATAAAATTATTCTTTCAATCCTTTTAAATTACTCCGTATTATATATGTCGTGAACATGTAGACTAAACCCTACGACCCCCCCCCCCCCCCCCCCCACACACACACACACCTAAAACCTCCATCCAAAGGTACTTTTTTAACCAACGTGCTTTTTATCTTCAACTTTTTTACCTCAAAACATTCAACATTATGAATCTATCTTGAACTTTGTGTGAAATATATACTGTTTTTAAAATACAAGGAAATTTGCAGACTGAAAACTAGTTCCTCAATGCAAGTTTCCAGGTCAAAGTATATTACCTCATCTTGTGGGATAGTCTCAGGAGGAAACCAATGCATAACAACTCCAAGGTGCATCACAGCAGGTATAAGTTTAAACAAGATAGGAGTTGTGACCTGTGTTATATATTTCAAAAAAATTGCAAAAGTCAGACTAGGGAAAACTTTGGGACCATTCAGTGAATAGAACAAACTTGAGGGCTTACAAGACTCAAAGCCGTTGTTCCCAGCAGAAGAAGGTATATCTTGCCCTATACATAATTAACACACCCTTAAGTAGAAGAACAAGAACTCTGTTTCTCAGTTGGGCAATAATGATTTGATATAAGAAAAACAATAACTAATCATTAAAGAAAAACAAATACTCCTTTCATCCCAAAAAATGAAGATGAAAGAATCATTTATGCAAAAACACATATGCCTCAACCTTGTATCGTGTAAACATCGCCATTGGCTGTTTTATGCATAGTTTAAGGTGAATTTGTTTTAAAAATCACAGAGGTGGGCCTTGAGACATAAGGCCTTTCTTATTTATGAACACCATAATAATGTAGTAAGTCACAAATCATAGTTACATTTAAAAAAAAAAAAAACTTTTTTTAAATTTATCATATACTACGTATAACTTGTTGTTAGCCGACCCCAAAATCTTTTGGGAATAAGGCTTGGATGTTGTTGTTGTATCATATATAACTTGTTTGCTACTCTGATTTTCACAAATTGTTATAAAGACTACCACGGTACACCAGATGAGCAAACATGACTCTTTATTGGACAGAGGGAGTAATCAAGATGTACTCCAATTTCCTACAATTACTAGTTCACTTTCGATTCATTTTGGTAAAATTAAGCCCAAAAGTGGTGCATATGTTAGATGGAAAGTACCCCAACAATATTTAAGTTTGACGCACGACTTAACAAAACAAATGCAAACTCTCCAATTTGTGCCAGCAAAAGTCCGACCTGCACAAGTAAACCAACCACCATTAATAATAGAATCAGATGCTTATGTGCTTTTACTACTCCTACCTGACAAGGAAATTGAACAGCTAACTCACAATAAAGGATGTTCTGATGTTATATCCAAACGCCTTTGTGACTGTCGCACTAACAGCAGTCTTAACCACAACCACCAGAATAACAGACGCAAGCAATATATCCACATGCGTCCACAGGAAATGTACATGTATGAGCATCCCAATACTAGAAAGAAATAGAGCAGCGAAGAGATTACGGATCGGCTCCACCTGCAAGAATGCAAAAGGCATTCACCAAACTGTTATGCTTCTATGCGTATTAGGATAACATTTTATTGGAGGGGTGCATAAGATTCAGTAAAAAGTAAGAATTAAACCCCCCCTAAAAAAATTAAGCAAAGAAGCATAGTTGTTATGGCGGGGTTTTGCGGTGCTGCGCCATCGGACCTCCATACTGCTGTGGTGAGATCGTGGCGATACAGTAACGTAAGTACAATAATAAATGTATAATATATTTTTTATGCTACATCTAACACTTATAGCTTAGACTACTAAGATTACACCATCATTTTCAGTAAAAATAAAAACATAACCATAATCCATAAGAATTTAACTATAACCATATTGGAGTGTAGCAACATAATCCACAAGACCATGACCATAACCACAATCCATAAGATTAAACCATCGTCTATTTACTAAAAATTAGAAACAACTTACAATTGGAGTGTAAATTAAAATCATTAAATATAAAACAAAATTGAAGTATAAAAGGCTTACTAATTACTAATAGAAAGAATAGAAAGTAAATTTGTTATCAAAAAATAAGCAAATTTAAAGATACTGCTGCAGTAGCTAGCTGAAAGTTATCAGCAGATGTCCTTGATGAATGACAACATTGCTAAAGCTGCTAGCCTGATCTAAAAAACATACTGCTGCAATAAAACTGTAAAATAAAAGAATGTGTGGGTGACCGCGTGTGAGAAAGGCTGAAAAACTAAAAGAGTTCAATTGAGATTTGAGAAATCGGGAAAAGGAAGACGATTCTGCGTGATTATGTGATCCTTTATAATTCTAGATGTATACATTTTGCATGTCATTTGAATCAAAAAATTGCATGATTCCGTAATCATTTCCACTTTGATTACGGATTCTAAAATAACAATAATATTTTGGAAACTTATTAATAGAAAATACCTGTTCTAACGTATGTTGTGCAGAGTCAGTGGTAGATATCATAACTCCAGCCACAAATGAACCCAACTCCAGACTGAGACCCAACTTATCACTGCACTGGAGAAACAAAGAGTGACATGCTTAATTTATGAAAATAATTTTTGTTTAACATATAGCTCTTTGGGTACACAATCATCATGGCGTGATTAAAAAAGCCATTGAGATCAACACTAAAATGGCATATCACTTATGTATAGAACAGAGAATGTGTCACACTCACCCATGCAGATAATAAGCAGAATGCCACTGCAGCTAGTTGGTATAATTCATTGCTCTGCAAATTAAAAACTATATGATACAGAGGCTTCATATTTAACTTGAAAAAGCATGCAGCACTTGATCATTCATCTACTTATTCACTATCAACAAATACACCATTAGATGCTGATGATCAGTTAAAGGTTCACATAAGAAGCAAATGTTGTCAGAAGGGGAGACACGTACACTATACTTGTGAAGAAGAATATAAGGAAGGAAAGAGCAAATGAAGATGGAAAGGAGAACAAACCTTATTTCCCTACGCAATTCATTTTTATTCTCTGATTTAGTGAATCAAATTTTAATCATATTCAACTAGGTTATGGGGATGCAAGAGAACTTTTAGCGTAGTTTCTAAATATCTAAATTTTAATTATTTAATAATAATTTAAATATTATCAGGGGAGAATCAATTTTAACTTCAGTCCAACCTTGTAAATGTAACCGGCTAACCAATTTGAGACAGATGTAGTGTAAATTTGCTTTCTTATCATACCTCTTAGTTTCCGAATAATAAAATGTGTTATGCTATTGAGTTTTTTTTGTGTTTTTATCTTTGATCACACTCATCAAGGGACACAGGTGACTGCTACTGCACAACTATCTGTAGGCAATAGCAGGTTATCCTCAACACAATCCAAAGTCTAAACACAATAAGAGATGCTGATAATAAGAAAGAGGGGAAAATTAGTCCACCTTCATATTTTCCTCTTCTCATAATAACTTATATGGAAAATTTCCAAATATAGTGTTTGTAATCTTAAAAAATAATATACATGTTCTTTCCCAATCAGATAGAGAATGGAAGATAACATCAAATAATAAATGCAGGCATATTTGGCACAATTCTTGTTGAATGTAAGTGACGGCACTAAAGTCGTTGTGTGCCTCAAACTAAAATCAATATTTGCACTTATATGTAATATAGTGTAGTAAGGGGAGGTTTGAGATTGTATAGATTTAATGAATTAAACACTAAGATGAATGACTTATGTGATTAAGATTAATGAGATTAAAAGACTTGGTTTTGCTACTTTCCACTTGTTGATGTATTTGTTGATCGCGGTTATATCTATAACTTATCTCCTCTCGAATACTCAATCGAGGAGTATCTCCAATTCATCGAGAGTAGTTATTAATAACGAGACCATTCATTAATAACTCTTACTATTAGCCAAGTATAGAACACCGTCATATACCGACTTGATAGTAGCATTTAATCTTTTAACTCCTTGATAAAATCAATTGAGATTGATAACCCCAACACAACGGTTTCGGTTTAACCAACACAATTAATCCCCCTTAAGATTATTAACCATGAGAACATGCATTAATAACCCGAACTTACTTACTTGTGTACCATCAATGATTAACCATCGGTTCATTGATCATTTCTAGTAATAATTAATGTCAAGATGTTAGCTAATTATCATTTAGCAACACTCTCCAACATTAATATAGTTATAGAATAAGGGAAGAATTAATATTCAAGGGAAGAAGTTAAGAAAATAACTCACAACTTAAACATTTAACAAGTTTCAAAAGCAAAACCAAGAAATAGGAGTTTAGCTCCTCATTTGGAAACTAAACATGCTAGAAAAATATAAAGAAAATACTATTCTAAGTTGAGCTAAAGTATATGGAAGAAGAATTGATAAATGTGAAGGAAATGTGTGCTATGTATAGGTGTTTTCACTGAGCTCCGCTGGATATCCGATCGGGTATAGGCAATATTCTAAAAGGCACTAGGCGCTAGTCGGGCGGAAGCCCAGCGCCCAGCGCCTAGGCGGCTAGGCGGGCGCCTAGGCGGGGACTAGTCGGAGATACATAAATTGTATTTTTATAAATACTTTTGCACAAATATGATAAGTAATACATAGTATAACGGCATTATCGTGTTTGTGTGTGAAAAATATATACACACACATTAACATGCATGAATGATAGAATTATCACATGCAATAATATATGATAAGTAATCACTTAATTATATCATGTTATAAATATTAAATATATATGCATACATATATATATAATTTTTATTCTTAATGTACAAGTATCTTTCTGCATATTATACCTTTCTCGGCCTTTTGGCTATGACCAAGTGTAGTATCTGTTCTTATTAGTTTAATAATTGATATGTGGGCTATTAGTCCACACGATATTAACTCAATTTTTAAGGAGGAAAGTTCATGAAGGCAGCTTGCTATCTGGGCTTCTAAGAGTGGCCTGAGTGTTGCACTACTTCTCAGGCCTGGCTCACCCCTCCTAAAAATACGGAAAAAAAAAATCTTTCTTCATATTTGTTGTTAAAGTTACTTGTACATATATCTCTTACTTAAAAAAAATTAAAAGTAAAAAAATTAGTCGGATGACTAAGCGCTCTGGGCGGGCAACTAAGCGCCCTAGGCAGATGACTAATTCACTTAGGTGTCAAACCAATTAGTCGGGGCGCCTAGACAAAAATCGGGGCGTTGGGCCACCGCCTAGCGCCTAGGCGGGGACTAATTGGGTGCCTAGAACGATTTTTAGAACAGTGGGTACAGGTACATACCCGACCGGGTATCAATCAAAATCAGATAATTTTCGCACGTCTCTGTGTTCTTTAGCACATCTGTTTGCCCGGGTCAAGTCATACCCGACAGGGTATAGGTACATACTCGACCGGGTATGCTTAGCAGTTTCCCAGCAGTTTCACTTTGGCTCTGTACCCGACCTTGTCATGTATTATACCCGACCGGGTATTGCACGAAATCAGCCTTCCTCATTTTGTTTGTCTTCCAAGTTCATCCTTGTCAAATAGACAAATACCAAACTAACTACTCCTATTTTACAAGCTTACAGAGAAGCTTTACACACAAATGGAGAGCATATAACCAAACATCATAAATCTATGAACTAAGTAACAAACCATCATAAATTAAACCTAAAAACAAACACTTATGCACTCATGATGTGTGCATATCAGTAAGATGTATAATCAATTTGTACAGCTCCTTGATTGAACTGGGAATGCATACAGCAGTCAAAGAGCAAAGATAGCATGCAGCTTACCAAATAGAGTGTGTGGTCATAGTGTCATTACTGTCAGACTAAACTTATGTCGAGAAAGTCTAACATTTGGTAATTTGGTATGAGCACAAATGTTACTCACTTGAGGAGATAACTGAATCATCAGCTTTAGAAAACGAGGAACAAATGACCACGTTAAAACAGATGCGGCAAAAAGAAAAAGGGACAGGGTCAGCAACCTACAGCCAAATAACAAAAGGAAGTTAGAGCAAGCAACAAGTCTGCAAAAAAGTTATTGTAGAAACATCAAAGGAATCATTCCTTGCAGAATTCCACTATTTCCTCCAAGAACTGGAACAAGTCTGTAAGCTTGGCTTACAATTTTCCCATCGCAATCATTCCTTGCAGAATTCCACTATTTCCTCCAAGAACTGGAACTAATGCAAACAACAAACCAACAGCACAGTCCTAACATAAAGACAAGCCAGAGAAGGTAAAAGGTTTTAGGATGGATTGATGGAAAATATGTTACTAAAATATGCAGACAAAATAGGAAATGAGAGATAAAATGGATGATTGGGTATAGTCAGAGAGCGATTGGGATGACTTGTTTTGAAAGAATAAATTATTTTTAGAGGAAGAAATACACTTTTACTTCAAAAAGAAGAGTTACAGATGAAATTGAAAAAAGGGAGGAGGAACAAATACACCCTTCAACTATATGTCACACAAAAAAATATACTCTTCAACATTTACTTGGAACACCCGAACACGCAAATTGTCAAGTTGGAAGTTGGAACAAGTATACCCTTGAATTACATATGACAGAACATTCACTGATATACCTCTTAACTATATATAGGAGAAAATATATACCCCTCAAGCATTTGGACATAAGAAAGTGTTTTTGTGTTTAATTGTCCTAAATGAAGGGTGTAAGAGAATTTTTAAGTAAGAGATATATGTACAAGTAACTTTAATAATAAAGTCCTTCTAGTGATTATGGGTATATATAGGAGAAAATATATACCCCAAAACGGTTTCGGTTTACTTATATATATATTAAGGGTGTACTTGTACCTTCTCCCAAATGGAAAACATGCTATAATAATAAAAAGCACTTCTAGTGATTATTCAAGATAACAGCAGATTGGCGCTTTGCATTTCTTTTTAAATAACGCATGTATCCGGGACCTTAAACCTGTATAGTCTTGCAAGCCCTGAAGTTAATGACCGGGTAATACTGTGTGGTCGTTCCAGGGAGACAAATTTGGGTGGTAAGAGAATTTTTTTACTACCGACTTCAAGCTAGTCAGAGTATCCAAGAAAGTTTTGGTGCTTTTTCATAAAAGCACTTTAAGTTCTTAATTGAAAAAGTACTTATGATAAAGCACGGGTACCATAAGTAGTCCGAAAGATTAGCCATGATCAGCACAGTTTACAAATTCTTATACTTGGTACAATAACAAAATAATGTGATTACCTGGAATATAAGTGTGCCAATTGTCACTTGACCGTGGAGAGAATTATTACTGTTTCGCTCAACCAGAAACTTCACCACCTGTTGATTAAAAAATGGACAAAGTGGAGAGCTTGTGGGGTTGTCCGCACTATAAATAAAGATACATCCGTACTAATTATTACTAAAAAATTACCACTGCTGTTGAAGACATCGAGAGAAAGCAGCCTATGAAGATACCCTCTGACAACTTTGCTCCACAAAACTACAGCAAATTGTGAAACACACAGCTAAGAATAATTCTAGTTGGATTAAGAAAGTGATAAGAACTCACAGTTCGCAGCAATCAATCACAGAAAATATGAACAACTTGCAGAAGAAACAGAATTCTCATTCACAATGGTAAACCGTGTACAGATTGTCCCAAGAAGGAGATAAAACTCCAACTCCAAGTCCCAAGACAAATTGTCTAAAAAACAGCCTGCATTCCTACAGCAGAATTATTCTATTTATAACCTTCTACAAACAGAAGGTAGTTATTAGTTACTAACAACTCTCAACTAATAACTCGCTAGTCTATTTTAGGCCTTCTAGAATAAACTCGCCCGAACCATCTATTCTGATTATTTAGACTAGCTGGATCTCTATCAATACCCCCTCCTTGCAGAACCAACTTGTCCTCAAGTTGAAAGTCAGGGAACTGATCTTGGATCATTTTAATATCCTCCCAAGAGTCTTCAAAATCAGGAAGGCCCTGCCAATGCACTAGGACCTCCTTCTTCCCTTCCTGATTCAGCCTGCTGTCTCTCACAGCTTCCGGTCTCACTTGCAACTCACAATCTTCTGTGAGGCAATTTGGGAGGCTTTGATAAGCCACAATTGGTTTCAGCACTTTCTTCAGCAAGGATATGTGGAATACGGGGTGTATTCTACTTCCTTCTGGCAACTTTAATCTAAAAGCAACCTTATTTATTCTCTGAAATTTCATAAGGGCCATAAAATATTGGACTCAGCTTTTGATTGATCTTCCTGGCCAAGCTTCTCATCTTGTAGGGTTGTATCTTTAAAAAAACTTGATCTCCTACTTCCAGTTCCGCTTCCCTCCTATGTTTATCAGCTTGTTGCTTCATCATATTTTGTGCTCTGGCCAAATTCTCCTTCAATTCAGTCAACATCCCATTCCTCTCAGCAGTCATTTTAGCTACTTCATCTACTGAAGTTATACTGACATCACCTCTGATGATTGCAGGAGGTGACTGTCCAAACAAAGCCTGACAGGGAGTACTTTTCAATGAACTATGATGTTAGGAATCTGCCTATTTAGTATTTTTAATAGGGTATTTGAAAGGAGAAATAAAGGGGCTGGGGTCAGTTTAGTAATTACTTTAGCTATTTTAGTCCCTGCGTGGACTTAATGCTATAAATAGGAAAGGGGAGTAGCGTAATAGGGGGACTGATTTTGATTATCTGTTGCCTAAGTCCCGGTTGCCTAAGAGTCCCGATACTTGTTGCCTAAGTCGAAGCTTGCTTCATCAATAAACTACTATTTCCCTCTTTGTTATCAGATCTGTTTTGCGTGTTATTGCTTTTGCTGAGATTATTCACAGGATCCTATCAATGGTATCAGAGCAATTGCTCCTGGGGATCGCAGGTGAAGTGCGACTGCAGTAGAGTTCTCGTTTCGGCATTGTTCCTCGTTTCAGGATCGTTGTGAGGTAGCGACTGCAACCTAGCTCTCGTTTTCTGAAGTGCGATTATTTCAGAGCATCACGCTCCTGGAGATCGGACTGGGTAGACGATTTCAGCCAAACGATCGGTTAAGAGGTGGATGGTCAAAACCAGATCTAAAATGGAACATCGAATGGACGCGTTGGAGCTAGAGATGAAGACGGATGTGGCTACACTCACGGCTTCCATGGCAACGATGAATGAACAGTTCCAGAACAATCTAGCTGCTTCTATGGCAACGATGAATGAACAGTTCCAGAGCAATCTAGCTGCGTCGACGGCCGCGATGGCTGAACAGTTCCAGAGCAATCTAGCTGCGTCGACGGCCGCGATGGCTGAGCAAATCCACAGACTGCGCGTTCAGCATCGGAGGAGGTCGCGATCAAGCCACTACCATCGTTCGCGATCACCGCACAGCCCAGATCACTCGAGAGGTAATTCTGTACACTCTCCAATCCCTACTCGCAGAGTCCATACTGGCCGGAAGGTGGATCTGCCATTGTTTAATGGAGTAGGCGCTACTTTAGATTGAATAAAACAGAGGAGGAAGACAAGGTTGAGGTTTCAATGGTGGCTATGGATGATAGGGCCTTGAATTGGTTTCAGTGGTGGGAACAACAGGCCGAGGAGATAACCTGGGAAAATCTGAAGGATGCGGTTATCCGTAGGTTCCAACACGACTTATTGAAGAATCCCTATGGACCCATGTTGAGCCTGAAACAGACTGGAACTGTGGAGGACTATCGGGATGAGTTTGAGAAGGTAATAGCTCCACAGAAGAACATAGACAGGGGTATGCTGAGAGGCATTTTTATCAATGGCCTCAAGGATGAAATCAAGGCTGAACTGAAACTCTTCAATGGCGAATCTCTAGCTGCTACCATGGACAGGGCCCAAGCGATTGAGAAGAAAAATGATGCTATTTACACTAAGGGTAAAACTACAGAGAAACTGGAAGGAAGGGACAAGGGATCCATGAACTATAGACAACCTGTTTGGGGTGAGGGATACAAGCCAAAAGCTGGAAGTTCAGGATCCCAGACTGGTGGTAGAAATAATTCAGGACAGCAGGGCACTCAACCTTGGTTTACTCCCGATGGGAAGAAGGAAACTGAAATAAATTCCCCAGACATAAGAAGAGTAGGGCCACAGCTGACACAAGAAGAATACCAAGATAGAAGCCGGAAGGGACTTTGCTTCAAATGTGGTGAAAGATGGGGAAGAGCGCACTCTTGCAAAATGAAGAATTACAAAATGATTTTAGTGGAGGATTCCGAGGGAGAAGAGGAAATAGTTAACCCAGAAGGGGTAATCCCTGAAGAAGAAAAGATCACCATGGAATTTAAGTCCATGCAATTGTCCTTCATGAACCAGGACGGAAAACCCTCTACGAGGGCTTTTAGGGTGCAGGGGATTCTGAAATGGGCTAAGGGAGAGAAGCTAGTGGATGTTCTAATTGATAGTGGAGCCTCACACAACTTCATATCCCAGAAAGTGGTAGAGCAGTTAACCCTCCCTTATCAGACCATTGCTGGCTACCAAGTGCAGCTTGGGAATGGTGATAGGGTCGTCAACAAGGGCAGGTGTGAAAAACTCATTCTGAGCTTGCAGGGAACTGTCATTCAACAAGATTTCTACATGCTGGAGTTGGAGGGAGCTGACATGGTTCTTGGCATGGATTGGTTGACTGGATTGGGGGATGTGGAGATTAACTTTCAGAAGCAGAGCATAAAGTGGCATCATCTAGAGATAAGTCAAACAATTCAAGGGGATCCTAAGTCAAACTCTATGGAGGTATCTCTGAAGACCACGTCACAAACTGTACAGGAGAATGGTGTGGGCTATCTTATCTACTGGGAAGGCAGAAAATGGGATGGAGAGGGAATTCAGCTGAAGGATTCCAATTTGGAAGGAATTGAGGGGAAGAGGAAAATTGATTACACAGTTGAAGTTGGTATGGGAGTTCTTATAAGGGTTCAAACTGGTTTGTTCCTGGATCCATTTAGAGCTGCAACGCCTCATAGCAGGACTGTCTTAGAACCCTTACATGAAGAGGTTGGTTACAAGGAGGAGGCTTCAAGTGTAATTCCAGGGAATTTTTATACCCAGTTTCTGCCCCTGTTGGCTGTAGAAAATGTGATGATGAAAGTGAAAGAAATGAAGCTCCTGGAGCAGAAAACCAAGAGGTACTGGGAAGGGAGAGGTTCCAGGATGAAGAGGAAGTTCAAGATCAAGGTTGTGTCTTATTACCCACCTTGAGGGCAAGGTGGTTATTTAGGGGGGGAGTAATGTTAGGAATCTGCCTATTTAGTATTTTTAATAGGGTATTTGAAAGGAGAAATAAAGGGGCTGGGGGTCAGTTTGGTAATTACTTTAGCTATTTTAGTCCCTGCGTGGACTTAATGCTATAAATAGGAAAGGGGAGTAGCGTAATAGGGGGACTGATTTTGATTATCTGTTGCCTAAGTCCCGGTTGCCTAAGAGTCCCGATACTTATTGCCTAAGTCGAAGCTTGCTTCATCAATAAACTACTATTTCCCTCTTTGTTATCAGATCTGTTTTGCGTGTTATTGCTTTTGCTGAGATTATTCACAGGATCCTATCATATGATAATTAGTGTTGAACCAATATTCAGCCCACGGAAGCCATTTAACCCACTGCCTCGGTTTCCTTCCACTTAAACACCTCAAGTAAGTTTCTAGGCAACGATTTACTATTTCAGTCTGCCCATCACTATGTGGATGGTAGGCAGTACTATATTTGAGCTTTGTCCCAGCCAATGTTAAGTATCTATCTGGAATCAGTAATAATGGCGGCAGAAAATATGAACGAAGATGAACAGTGAACAAGAATGGTTATTCGATCAACAGAAAAATAGAGAAAGTGCCCTGACAGTTAAAGAGATGTCAACTCTCCAGTCCCAGCCCAATACCAAATAACAGCCTGCCTTATTCCTCCTTTAGCTATCTATTTGTAGAAGTCCACCCGACCCCCAATTACAAAACAGCTAGGTACTTATTATTCCCTTTTCTTCTGGAATACTTTATCATAATAGCTACTACTACTACTATTATTATTATTATCAAACAGTTGACTTCCTGAGACTCTAACATCACTCCCCCCTGGAACAACCACCTTGTCCTCAAGGTGGGTCATATGAGACACTCCTGACAAACAGCTTCTTCTTCATTTCTGCACCTCTTCCTTCCCAATACCCCACTGCTTTCTTTATTGTTATCTTCAGCGCATGAACTTCCAAAATCACCGTTGTTATTGCAGCAGAAGGTGTCTCTACTGACCTTCCATTCACTTCAGCAGCCTTAGAGTCCTCCAGATTGATATAGTAAAATTGCTTGTGACCCTTCTCTGCATTTTCTTTTGGGTGTGCCTCATAAGCATGCACATCCAGCACATCCCTTCCAATACATTCAATGATAAAACACCTTTCAGATACTCCTTCAAGATTTTGCAGCCCATACCCCTTGTTTCCACCATTATACCACTCCAGATTAACATCCTTCCATCTCTGAAACTGTT